TAGGACCAGGTCTTTCTCCTTTGGAGCCTCTAGGTGGGTTTAAACTACCAACCTTTCAGTTAGCAACTGAGTGCTTAACCATTGTTCCACAATATATAATGAATATGAAGAGAGAATTGCTGACTACTCAACATAATACGATGTTTTAATGAACATTGTGAATCAACTAGGAAAAGGAAACACATGGATATAGTCACTGATGGAGCCAGATTCTGACCAACCAGTGGGAACTAGAACCATACTCTTAGTGACTATGCTTTCTGAAAGCACTATTCTATCTTGAGTTTCTCAATATGTTAATGTAATCATAAAAATGATGATTTTGAAAAGGCACACTAAAAAATACCCACAAAAAAAAACAAAAACTTTTGAGAATATTCCTCTTTTTAGATAAATCTGTCATGACATAGGAGTGGCATTGAAAGCTTGCTCAGTTAGCATAGATACATAGGGTCGCTATGAGTCGGAAGGAAATCCTGGTGATGTAGTGGTTAAGTGCTATGGCTGCTAACCAAAAGGTTAGCAGTTTGAATCCACCAGGTGCTCCTTGGAAGCTCTATGGGGCAGTTCTACTCTGTCCTATAGGATCGCTATGAGTCAGAATCGACTCGATAGCAGTGGGTTTTTTAAATGAGTCGGAATCAACTCCACAGCAACGAGTTTTGGTTTGGTATGCTGGTTTAGCTAAAGAACAGGAGTTATCACAAATTTTAAATTGAGGAGTGAGTTGTTTTTCTTTACAAGGAAAATACATCCCAACGAAGAATAAATGTCCGTCCGTGGTGAATTGCTTCGTTGTCCATCTCAGCGTTAAAGAGGGCGTCACAAATTTTAGAGCTAAATACTGAATCTGAATGCTTTCACTAAACATGACAAGATGGCTGCAGTTAACATGAAGTTTGACTGTTCGATAATGAGTTGATTGTGGGTACTCTGAGTCATTTGAGACTCCGTTCATTTACATGTGATAAAAATTACAGTTTTAGTGATAAAATACAAAACCAAACCATTCGTCTTTTTATTTTCAGTGAGTAAGCCTTTGTGTAGATCCCTGAGATAAGATTCTAACCAATGGATACAAAAGCCTTATCCACCATGCAAGAAGTGAAATGAACTCTCAGCAAAATAATACTAATGGAAATCTTCAGCATCTGTAGCCTGATAACATTGTAGCACGCCAGCGTTTTGGCAACATGAAAAACAATCTTCAGTATTACCTTGATAGAGTTGTCATTTATTGAGTACTTACTATATGTGCAAAGATTTGTTCCAAGGATCTTACATGTTTAATTCATTTAATCATTACAATGGTACTGATGTGTTCTATTATTATCAATTATTATTTCCAGATGAGGAAACTGGGGCACAGAGAGGTTAAGTAATTTACCAAAGTTCATCCAACTGATGGCAGAAGATTTGAACATAGACAGCCTGACTCCAGAGCTTGTGCCCTTAATCGCTACATTATTGTGCAGCTTTGGGGTGGTGTCATGGGTGAGTGGGGGGGATACTGCCAGTCTTAGTTTCTGTTATGGATTAAATTGTGTCCTCCAAAAATATAAGTTGTAAATCCTAACTCCTGTCCCTCTGATTATAATCACATTTGGCAATGGGTTTTCTTTGTTATGTTAATGAGGCAGTATTAGTATAGGGTGGGCTTGAAACAAATCTTTTTTGAGATATAAAAGAGCAGATTAAGCAAGCAAGCACAAATGGAGGGGAAAATACACGCCACTTGATCAGCAAGAAACCTAGGAATAGAAGCTGACAAGAGACAAGGACCTTTGCCCAGAGCAGACACAGAGAGAGAGCCTTTCCCCTGGGGCCGGCACCCTAAATTCAGACTTCTATCCTCCTAAGTGGTGAAAAAATAAATTTCTGTTTGTTCAAGTCACCCCCTTGTGGTATTCCTGTTATAGCAACACTAGATAACTAAGACAGTTTTCTAGGGCTGCCATAATGAAATACCACAAGGTGGGTGACTTTGAAGAACAGAAATTTATTTTCTCACATTTCAGGAGACTAGAAGTCTGCATTCAGGGTGTCAGCAGGACCAAGCTCTGTCTCTGTTCACTCTAGGGGAAGATCTTCCTTGTCTCTTTCAGCTTCTGGTATCCCTGAGCATTTCTTGGTGTTCCTTGGCTTGTGGATAGGTCTTCACAGGGTGTCTTCCCCTTGTGTGTGACTCTATGTCCTCCCCTTTTATGAAATACCACTTAGAAGGATTAGGACTAGGACGTACCTTGCTTTGGCATGTCTTAACTGATAATATCTTCCAAGAAAGGCCATATTTCTCCAAACAACGTCGCATACTGGGTACAGGGGTTAAGACTTCAGCAAAACTTCATGGGGGACACAATTCAATCCATAATATTGTCGGTTGTATATTTGTAAGTTTGCGTTCTAGAAATATTATGATACTGAGAGTGATATGGGAAATCACTAACTTTGATGTGTAGAGTCAGCTCTTTTCCAATTCAGCCCATTTTTCCAAAATTGATTATTTCAGTACAACATCTTGACCATTAAGAAAAATGTAGGAACATTCTTCTTCCAAAGTTAGGAAATATAAAACTATTATTCTTATAATTTACACATGAATATATCAAAATATCAAGCAAATTTTACATGGATTTTTAAGATAAAATATGAATCTTTACATTGCAGCAGGCCATTCAGGCTTCACTTCTCCAGGCTTCCTTGATATGAGTTCACCCCCATCTTCCTTTAGGGAAACTTCAAAGAAGAATGAGGAGCACTGTTCAAACTTGACAGTGTGCCTTAGGACTGAACTGTATGCAAAACTTCTTGGAAAACAGATATTTTTATTAAGAGGAATCTTTCATATTCACCATCATCAATAATCAATATGTACTGTGAATCTACTATAGACATAGAAGAGAATGATAGGCCCTACAAATCTAACATGGTAGGTGGTGTAGTGGTTAAGAGCTATGGCTACTAACCAAGAGGTTGGCAGTTGGAATCCACCAGGCGCTCCTTGGAAACTCTATGGGGCACTTCTACTCTGTCCTATAGGATCGCTATGAGTCGGAATCCACTCGATGGCAGTGGGTTTGATTTTTTGCAGGGGGTTTACAGTGATTTCAAATGCAGTGTTTCCAGAGATTGCCTGTATCAGTGGACACCCAAGATGGCATGTCCCTCTGAAGTTTTCAGAATGAATAGTTAACAGTGGGAAAGTTAAGGTATCCAATTATCAAGAAAGCTACTGAATCTTTCTTCAAATTTCTGGGACATAGATAGGACCTGTCTGGTACAAAGTTATATTGCACTTGTGTGTGTATGCATGTACATGAGCATACGTGTGTGCATACATGTATGTGTGTGTGTATTTCTGAAGAAAAAGTTTAAATACAGATAGATACAAAAGATAGTAAAACAAATACTCCTGTACCCAATTTTTCATTCAAACAATGGTAATATTTTGCTTTTGCTTCAGATCTTTCTTAAGGAAAAGATCAGATTTAATTAAAACCCTTTCTTCTCCAATAACATTCCCAAAGTCATGGATCCAGTTCATGCTTTTGTAACTTTGCTACATATATTATTTAGAAAAAATATATAATAGTTTTTTATGTATTTTTGAGAATTATGTTGATGATACAATTTTGTATTTAATACTTTGCATCTATATTTTCCACTCAATATTGTTTTGTGATCTACCCAAGTTGAGTCATATAGATCTAAGTTATTCCTTTTAACTGCTGTTTGATGTATCGTCATATAGCAAATAAAATTATGTTTTCCAATATAGGATATTAAAAATACTGTAATTAATGTTTTTATATGCATGTGGGAAAATTTATTCAATATATTATCAGAAAAGTGGAATTATTCATAGGTTATATATATGGTTAACTATTGTTGTTAGGTGCTATGAAGTCAGTTTCAACTCATGGTGACCCCATGTGACAGAGGATAACTGCCGTATAGAATTTTCTAGGCTGTAATCTTTGCAGGAACAAATCACCAAGTCTTTCCCCACAACACATAGTGATGACAATATTATGTGTATGATTTGCATGCATTGCATAGTTATGAAAAATGTCATTTAGTAGAATGATTTCTTTTTTTCTAAGAGGTCATACTAAATTTTATATTATTCTACAAAGAACAAAACTTTTAATTATTTTATCCTCAATAAAACTTTAAATACGATTGGTCCTATAAGATGGTGTTCGTTTATTTGGCCTGATTTGCAAAGCTGCAGATAGAACATCCTGTATCCTAATGTTTTTCTTACCTGCCATGACATATAAATTCCACCAAAGTAATCTCCCCTGAAATTTGATGACATTTTATCTTTTCACAATTTTCTATTAAAATGAACAGAAGCCTTCCAGGGTGGGGGAAGGGAAGGAAATGCCCTTGGACAATGATACCTAGCAGCGAATAAAGGCGCTTTGACAACATTATCAAGATTAGGCCCCAGAGGATGAGTCAGAAGTGCAAAAAGGAGATTGAGTGTTTTCAAAGGAGGTGAGAAAGCACCAAAAACAAACTTGATCTTCCTCACAATTTGATATAGTTAAAAAACTTGTAAAAATTACTTGTAAACTCAGCTACCCTTACTGTAAACATTAGTGGAGAAGTGAGTTACACACACTTCCTATAAACATTTAAAGATCTTCATGTAGGAAAGCAGATTTAGTAGTTCTTCAGCACAGAAGGAAGTTAAGAATCAGTTCTCAAAACGTATATTTCCCTTATCAGCTGATTTTGATCAACTGGCAACATCGTTACTGTAATTTTATGCAGCAGATAATGATAGAAGTTTGTCCCTAAAGTTTCTAGAATATTCTCCTAAAATTTTTTTTCCTGAGAATTTTTAGTTTGACTGCTGAAGTTTGTTTTTACCTTTTTAAAAATTATTTCTCCCCTTTTAATTAAAGTACGCTTCATTCAGCATAGGCAATTTATCGTTATGCTAATTTTTTTCATACTTCATGCTTTCTCTTTTCCTTCAGCCAGTTGGTACTGGAGTAGCTGAAATGCGAAAAAGGCAGCAGACACAAAATGAAGGAACACCTGCTATGTCTCAAGCACCTGGAAGCCAGAGACCCAACAACACATGTTGCTTTTGCTGGTGCTGTTGTTGCAGCTGCTCCTGGTATGTCTTGTTATCTGTATGATACCATACCTGAGCTAGGTAATAACTCAAATGAACGTGCATGTCAGTTCCTGGGACCATAGAAACTTCTCAACATAGCTTTTTTTCTTTTTCCTTTTCGAGTAGAAATTGTTAAAGACTATCACTGGTTTAAAAATTGTAAAAATTTTCGTGAGTAAAATATAATATTTCCTCAGACTCTATGTTTAAATTGATAGTAAGGTAAAGAATAAAATAATTATTTTATATCATATTCTTCTCCATCCATGGTTCTTAATGATATGGATAAATATAAGATTATGGTTAGATAGATAACTATTTAACAGTTATGACTATAATAAGCTGGCTATGAGTCGGAATCAGCTCAATGGCAACGGGTATTTAACAGTTAAGAGTAATCTCCAGTGTTACAGAATGTGCAAGAACATTAAGATAATGTATAGAATGTAATTTTGTAGTTCTGGGTTAGATATCAGTTGCATAACTAGATAGTGATGGGTCAGAGTGTCGACAGCAGCCCGGATCTCCTGCTAATAAGGACAGAGAGAAGTGCTAGCAACTCGTGCCCACAAATCTAGGAGGTCGGGCTCTGCCTGGTATGAAGGCTAAGTCAGTTAATGAAAAATACTGAAATTAAAGCCAAAAAGCCTGCCTTCCATTGCGACTATCAGTCACAGGCTGTGACATTATGGAAAGTCTTAATCTCTTTGTTCTTCGATTCTCTCATTGACAAAATAATGAAGAGTGGACAACTGCTTCCCAAAGTCCTTTCTAGTACTAAATGTCCATGATTCAGGCACCTCAGAGAACCTGCTCCAGTTCTAAATTCCCAAAATGCCTTTAAATAAGGATGCAGGTAGGTCCCAGAGTTCCAAGATTTATGCAGATGACATTTCCCAGGAGGATGCTAGACTTAATGGAACTTCCTTTAAAACCACAAGTTTTGGGATCTTTTAAGATTTGGTTTTCATAATGGATCTTCTGGACTAGCAGTGGTCTTCTGAATCTCCCTGTCCTATTTCAGAACCTTAAAGAAAGGCCCAGAAGCTTGAGTCCTCTTCTTGGGTATGACCTCTACAGTTTCCTAACACCCACTGAGGTTATTGGTATGATATTGTGGCATAATATTACATTATGGGGGCCAAAATGGAACATGAAATGTAATATGCAATAATAGAATCCTTGATGATGAACAAACCCTGGTCCATTCTAGAAAATCCCAGTTCCAGAATCTGGAAGTAACCTGTAAGGTTTAAGATAGTTCTGAAGTCAGACATTTCTTCACCTGTCACTACCTGTGTGACCTTGAGCAAGTCACTTCGTCTCTCTGGTCCTCAGACTCCTTCACTGCCAGATAATGATACTAAGAATTACTACCTCATAAGGTTGTTGAAAAAGTTAAATGAGATAATACACAGAAAGACCTTAGAACAGTGCCTGATACACAGTTGGCATTTAATAGGGTTAGCGCATGGGACTGTGCAGCACCTCATATTGGAATAAAATCTCTTTAAAGATGAGCTGCCTTGAAATAATAATAATAAAGAGGAGTTGGCTTGAAAAAAAATAAGATCAGTTTATGAATATAATACAAAAATTACCTCAGAAAAGAAAGCTATTTTATTTTAAATTCTGTATAAAATATTACAAACACATTGTCACAGTGTTGAGAATTATGTTTATATTTCTTCTTTGCACTGCGCCATGTTCCAGTCATCAATATATGATCTTATTTGCCTGCCAAAACTTATTTCTAAATTGCTTCAAGATTAAAACACCAAAATAGAGTACCGATGTTTTGTTGTGCTGTATTTGTTTGCTGTCAAACAAATAATTAGTGAGACTTGCTTTTATCTGTCATGAAGATATCTAGTGAGACTTGCTTTTATTAATTTTTGAAATTTGCATTAATTAACAAGACATTCAACATTAGTTTATACGCATCAGATTGTCACAGAACATAGACTACGGGCTGAGAACAAAACGGGTTTTGGAAGCTGCATTAACTCTGCACACAGCTAGAGGGACACCTATTTGGCTCTGCAAATATGGTGCATTGGAGGAATGTTCTATTCTAGACTAGAGTATCAGAAGTTGTCAGAACAGCATTTGTTAGTTATGAGTAATGGATGTCTGAGTCTAGGCAATACAATGTACAGCATATAAATTTACAATCCCTCTATATAAGATAAATAATAGGAAATTTCTAATGTGAACAACTGATATAAAAAAGATGAAAGTAAAATTATCTCGAACTATGGATTTTAATTGTGACTGCCTTACTGCAAATGAAAATGTCCTTTACACATGCATTTTTAAAATACTATTGTTTTTGTACTTTGAGATTAGGAAAAAATTTTAAAGGCTTATTTGAGTGAAAAAGAAAGAAAGAAATGTTTTTCAGTTTTTCCAGGTTAGGTCAAAGGAGGAGAATAAAAAGAAACACTTTTTAAAAAATGCAATTTATGGACCAAAAAAAAGTTAGAAATTAACATATGAAATAACTGTCATTCGATAATAGGAGCTATTGTCATGTGGCTGATTTTACTTCCTTTTAAGGAAATAGAGCGCTAGGAAAATAAATTTTTGTATCTAGTAATAAATATAAACAACTTACTAAACTTCATGTTATCGATTTTTTAAACAATATATTTCCCACAAATTTACTTTTCCCATTCATATTTGACTGTCAGCTCTTCTCCCATTTTTTAAAATTTATTCTTGTCCTTATAAAATTGCCACTACTCATTATTTTGAGGGATGATAACAGAGAGTAAGCACATAACTACTGGATATGTCCACAGTTTTCTTCAAAATTCCTAGTTTGGGTATATTTCACAATGACTTATTAAACTGACGAGTTCTCTCTCCCTGACAAGAAAGCAACTTCATAAAAAAAGAAACCTTTAAAAGATGTGGGCTCTTCACAAAGATGCTGCTGGCCAGCACAAGATGAATCAGTGAGGTTGTTCAGGTACACACAAGAGGACGTGTGAAGAAAGTCCCTCGAAACGAGAAACTGCTCTGTGCTCACAAAAACGAGGTGTGTCGAAAGGAAAGAAGAGGGTGGGGATTTCGAAGTTTATGTTGAGTTTAAAGATAATTTCCAAATTGTCCTACTAACCCTCTCCTAACATCAGAAGTCACATTAAAATAACCCAAAATATTTTCTCAAATAAAATCTTCCAGTGCTAATCCTTCTTTTAATACTGGCTGCTTCTGGCGGTGTCCCATCAAGCAAGGAAGATTTCCATATGTTTAGTCATAAGAGACCTCAGCTATCATCTCTCCAAAATTTTCACACTGCCGTTGGCTTAGTAGTACGTGGTGGTGAGGGGATGGTTTTGGGGTAATGGAGGACAGAAGTATTACTGGCCACAGCCCTGGACTCCCCACTTGCAGTTTCTAAAGGAATGGCCTGTCTAGCAATTTTACATATTGGACTTAGGTATAAGCTTTTGTTTGAAGAAAAGAAATTTTCTTGCTAAAAAAAAAAGTTTGGAAAATGTGGTTTCTGATTTTACAGTTGAGGAAACTGACACCTTGCTACTATCACTAGGCTCATTAGTGATAGGACAGGTTTCTTCATTTCCAGTCTGTTGCTCTTTCCACTTTAATATGTGTATCAGTCAACATTCTCCAGAGAAACAGTACAAATAGAAGAGATGCTTTACATAGATAGGTAGATAAATAGCTAGATGGATGGATTGACAGACGGATGGACAGACGGATGGATAGATATCTCAAGTGATTGTGGGAGCAGGCAAGTCCAAATTTGTAGATCAGGCAGGAGGCTGGAAACTTTTGCAGTCTTGAGTCCAAAATCCATAGCCAAGCAGGCTAGAAGCTCCAGTAGGATATCTATGTTACAGTCTTGAGTGACAAATTTTTCTCCCAGAGAAACCTGAGCTTTTGCTGTTAAGAATGAAGCTCACCCACAGTACGGAGGATAATGCTCTTTACTTAAAGTGGACTGATTGTAGATGTTAATCACATCTAAATATCTTCATAGCAACATCTACACTAGTGTTTGACCAAACAACTGGGCACCATTGTCTAGTCAAGCTGATACATAAATTAACCATCATAATATGACACCTCCAAACTTTTCATTGCCAGGTTTGGTATGAGCCTTTTCTAAAGCTTCTTACTTTGCAGACTCTTCAACAAGTATATCAGATATAACTTTTCAAATCAAATCATGATCTTATGCATTAATGAGCATTGCCTACAAGATTTGACCCACTGTACTGGATTCTTCATTCTTCTCATGAAAGACTGGTCATAGACTGAATTTAGTAAATTAACTAGCCCTGTGAAAGTTAAACTTGTCTCCCTTTGGGACACATTGGTTAACAGAGTTCCCAGGCCATGGAATCAATCTAAGTAAATGTTAAGCATTTCAGAAACATGCTTTTGGCTGCCTGCTCCCTCCATTTTTAACAAGTACCACAACCTCTGTAGTTCAAATCACTACAAAAATAACGTCCTATTTTATCCTCTGGCACTGTAACACTTTAGCTCCCTGCCAATGGAAATACTAAGAAGCATGTTTTAAAAGTCAAAGGATATTTTTTGAAAGGAAAAACAATAATCTGTGTCTGCTCTACGGTGAAGAAACCCCTCCTTGGAAATCAAACTGCTCCCATATGGCAGGTGAATCATTTCATCTGAAGCACCAGTGGTTAAATAATCTCTCCTCTACCTGTCACCGTCACCCTCGGAGAGCTAATTCATCTCGTATGAATTAAGTTTCTTCTGTGAAATAATTTTTTCTGCACAGGATTTCCAAAGTACTTATAACCAGATCATCATAAATATCACTTACAAAGAATTCAGCAGTTTTGAAACTCCCTGTAGCCATGGCATAGGTAAACTCCTTAATATTTTCTATAAATTGTATGAACTTTAAAACTCACATAATCAAAAGACATCTACCAAGGTCCCTGGGTGGCACAATGGTTTGTGCTTGGCTGCTAACCAAAAGGTTGGTGGTTCAA